AGGTGACCGGTTCAGACGCCCGTCACGACTTTTCATGTCACCTCCACAGTCAAGGCAGTAATTATTCCACGTTTGCATCAGTATGTCTGCTTGTGTACTCTTTTATGTATGCATGTATGTACTGTCTGAATGCTTAAATGCACATTAGCCCCAGTCTGGCATGAGCGCTCATCTTTTATCTTTCTCTAAAAGACAGGAAGAGGCCGCTTTTTTGGGGGGGCGGGGGAGGGGGGGTGGGTGTCGAGGCAGAGTCTGCCTCGGCGTCTCTCTGCTCTCCATGTGAGTGTTTATCATTAGCCACTGTCAGGCAGAGCGCTTTGAAGTGGAGTCAGGCATTCGCCCACCATGTGGAATGCTTCTGACACGTCGGTGCTGTTTGTGTTTTTCTGCGTACATTTTGTGCGGCTCGCCGTCAGGATCAGCCCTGCGCTTTCTTTCTACTCCTCCCGCACGCAATCTTTGGGCGGATGGCGCTTTAAAGCGCCCCTCATCAGTTTACTTGGATGTGCATCAGTACGCGTGCCGTTTGCAATCATAAACATGATTTTTTTTTTTTTTTAATGTAACACTGCTCGGGAGGTAGGGCATGTTTTCCTCAGACAGGAACGCTGTTAACCGCTGCCCATGCTTCACTGAGTCCGCTGATAGAAAGATGCAAAGATAGCATGCGGTGAAAAAGCCAAACAGGGTAAACGAGTGCGGCGAATGTGTAGACGAGGCATCGCCTCGCGATACGCCCCGCGCGTAGCGTATCTCTATACGATGCGCCCCGCAAGGTTCACGCGCCGTTAAGCATGCGCGGAGGCAAGCGGACAGTGAAACGATTTCACTTGCGTCCGACCTCCCAAGGCCTCATTAGCTTTGGAATAAGTGTGTGCGCAGCGACGCAGAACTGCACGCGTCGCGAGTGGGCGCGCAGCAACCCCAACGTCCACACTTGATTGGCCCGCAAGCTCATCTCGCTGGGCCTTCAGGTGCGCCGTGGAACAGTGCGGCGTTTATCGCCTCATTGCCGTAGCCCCCGCAAAGCGTTTGATTTCATCCGAACACAGCTGGCCAAAAAGTGAGCCGGCCCCAGCCAGATCAGAGACGGCTTGTGGCTCGGTGCGCCAGTAAAAAACATTGGATGCGAGTGTGATCCTGTCCCTGAGGTTTTGATGGCTGCGGCTTCCCGATCAGATCTGCGTCTATTTCTGGAAGGAGATGATTTGTCTCATGTGCGGGAAAAGTGCGGCCTCGTTCGACCGACGAAAAGTGATGTTAATGGATGAAGTCTTTGCTTAGTAATTTGAGCGTATTATCAACAATGGAAGGGTATGATTATGCACGGTTTGATCTGGGAGCAAATTCAGCACTTTTCTTCACCACTTGGGTCCTGCTTGGCTTTCCATACGATACAAATAACTGCACGATTTCAATAGCTGTATCGGTGCCCGTGTTTGTGGCAATGTCTCTCTTGATCCCACATTTTCTCCATTTAGCGTCCCTGGAAAGGCCCGAGATAAATTCAAATTATCGTTAAGTGCAAACAGTGAAGCTGGAGCGCACAGAAACACATTCGTTCACCAAGAAGCGTGGTTTGGTTCGGTTTCGGTATCCAAGGGGCAGACGGGTGTTCAATTTCAAGAGAGGAAACAAACAGACTCGTTAAACATCACGTGCCAACACCAGGATTTGCGTTCTTTGACTTTTGAGTTTGTAGCATCATGCGTACGCCTTCAGATTCAAATCTAAAAGTGTACCTGACACCTGGCCAATCACTCCCGACTTGTTCCGTTGCGCTAACTCTGGCTCTCCCGCTTTTCCCGTCTTTCGCTCTCTCGCTCCCTCTGAGCCCGCCGATGTCAGCACGTTGCGGAAGTTGTCGACACTCATCGGGAGGAATGACGTGACGCCGAGCAAAAGTGAAAGAGCGGCCGGGTCGGATATCCCATCAGATCAATCGCAAAGATCCTCAAAGAGTCAGTGGCCTGCGCCGCCATCGAGTCCTTAAGACTGACGGCCTTGATCACGGGGAAGGCCCGTTAATAAGGCCTACTGCAAATGATTCGCTCCGTCATTAATCCGTCTGGTAGCCATTTAAAGCCGCGCGCGTTATCTATTTGGACATGAGGTTTCACGCGTTAATAGCCGATAGCGTGAACACCCTGGAAGTGCCTTGGAGCGACACACGGTTTGATGAATGCCATTCACCGGAAGAGAAAGAATCCACTCAGTCGTGGCTGTTCACCTGGAAGAGTTTGCGAGAGAAGCGAAACATTTGCTCCCAAATCGGTGCGATCCCCTCGCAGCGGATTTTACAAGAAGCCTGCTTTCGCGTGAGCTCCGTTGTGACCGGATTGCGTCGTGTCCAGCGGGTTCATTTGGGAAACGGAGCTCTCTCTCTCTTTCCGGCACGCGGCCTCCTCGTGGCAGTGCTGGAGGCTGTGCCTGTTCGAGTGTGGATGATGACAGAGCTGATTCGGACTTCATAAATAATAGACTGATACCGTAGGTATCACCTGATGAATATTGCATTTCCATTCCCGCCGCTCGCCCGGGTGCCGCCTGTCTCCCGCCTTTCATTTTTATTTATACGGTCTAGTAAAAAGCATCCACAGATCCGACTTCAAACAGTTCGACTCCATGTCTGTGTTTTACAACCGGGATACAAAAACACAAAACAAAACTGAAGCCGAATGCCAAGATAAAAGTGAGCCAGCTGTGTCGAGGTCGGGGAGACGGTGTGGCAAGACTCACAGGCATATATTCTTTATCCCCCTGTTGTAAAACTCTTCTTCGTTTTTCCATGACTGTATGACACCGCCCCCGGTGACCAAGTCGCGGATACCAGATAGAGCCGCAATGGATTAATCAAACTGTTGAGTCCAAGATTCCTTTTTAAAAAGCAACACAATACACAAATACGGCAGCGTCCCTTTGGAGTACGGTGTTGCATCAGCTGGCATCAAATACGACAGTCCTTGAAACGGTGACATTTGGACCGGTCCAATTTCCCCCCCTTCCCCCCACCAATGATTAAAGTCAGCGATGTGGGTTTGCCAGGCCAACGACACAAACCTGTCGAAGGTCCAAACTGACTGTGAAGCTGTCATTTTACCTTCAAAATAGAGTAAGTTGCCACTTTCAACTTTTTCAATTGCCAGTTACCATTCATCTGTGGCATGGAAACGGAGATTATTTGACCCAGTTCAAGGTAGTTGGTGCCTGCTGGGGAAGCGTGGCAGGAAAAAGAAATGAACACCTTCAACGGATTATTAAAGTAGAAGGTGTTTGCGGGAATGGCACTGTGTTTAGAACGACGTGTGCGGACTTGCGCTCTCATATATTACGAGAATCTCTTCTCACTATAGATCTATATTTTTTTTTAATTGCCACACTTGTATTCGTACTTTGATTATGGTATGAGATGATTGAGCCTTTCTTCGCCAGTCGTAAAAACAACTTAAGGGGGGATATGCCAACATGTGTCAACACACTGGAAGCTGCAGCTAATCTGAGTGCTTGGGAGGTATAGGCTGAGGAAGGAAAGTGAGGATCTTAATCATCCAATCCGGAGGAAGATTAGAGGGCTGGTTGGAGGGGGAGGAGAGGTGGAGCAATTTAGGGACGGTAGAGGAAAAATATCCTTTTTTTTTCTTTTTCCCTTCTCGGTTAGCAACACAGCAGCCAATCACAAATGCAGACATGGACCAAAACAACTTTATTCACCAGTGACCCTGACTGGATTTTTTTTGTTTGTGTGCTGGTGTGTGGGTGTGGAAGGATAGAAGAGGGGAGGTGGGGTGGGGGGGCTGCCAGTTTGAGCGCTTCTTGGCAGCTGCCCAATCTGTGTTTCGAACAAAATGAGCAGAGGGGCTTATTTTCATTTGACACGCTGAGCAATTTTGCCCCTCTCTGTGTGTACTTGCAAGTATTCGGGCCCGTACGCGGACGTGCACGTCCACTCTTGAGTGGAGTGTGCATCTTTTGTGTGCGAGGGAGTTTGAGTGACAGCTCTGACCTTTTCAATATGCCTGTTAAACCTGAGCTCTTGTCCCAGTGCAGACGTGCTTGTGTCAACTGCAGCATTACTACATGAAGGTCAAATTCTGTCTCGAACACACACACACACACACACACACACACACACACGCACACACACACACACACACACACACACACACACACACACACGTACACGTCATGTTTTTCCCTCCCTTGTAAAAAGAATGTGCTCTCTGCCCCCACTAGCATGTCCAGGCAATTACCACATCATGCTGATGTATCTTCTCTGCTTTCCTGCCAGGCAATAATTGTGAATTTAGTCACCTCAGTTTTTTATTTTATTTCTTTATTTTTTTAATTAGTTTCCTGTCTTGTTGTTTCCGTGACCATTTGTTGTATCCATAGCTGGTAGGCGCACCTGACTGATGTTTTTTTTTTTGTTTTGTTTTGTTTTTAATTTCGCTCTGCACAAGAATATATTGATTAAAAATGCATACATTTGTGCTAGAATAACACCAAATACTTACACACACCCTCCGAAGAAGAAAAGGTGCTGTACATCATCGCAAGTAGTATAAAATATAAATAGCGGCGCTGCTCTCTGTGCTCACTGATGGATAAATTATGAAATGTGTGACAAACGGTGTGTGCGCACACCTCTGCGGACGTGCCTGTGAATGCACATGTGCCCATCAAGTGCTTTAAACAGAGGCGTGTGCGTGTGTGTGTGTGTGCGCGGGTGTGAATTACGCACACTTGTTTACATCCAATTCTGCCAATAGGCACCCTTGGTACTTTGTATGAGCGTGTATAAACCTCAACCTCTCCCCGGTGTACTCATGGCGCTGGGGCGAAGCTTACAGTCCATTTGTCTGGGAGCACACTGACCATTAGCTGGCCGCCATACATAATGTATAGCGGTGACCTTTTTGCACGCTGCACCCTAAGGCCTATAAGCCATTGTTTGGTGTTGTATTGATTTTTTTTTTTTTTCTTTTTCTACCCCCTTATAGATGGAGACGGTGATTTGAGGAGAGCGACTCAGTGCAGCTGCGTCTGCTGAAAGGAGAGGGGAGGGCCGGAGCAATGGAGTGGAAAGAATTGAAAAGGCTCGGCGGGGGGACGGCACATACCTTTAAGCCCCCCCCCCCCCCACCTCCCCTCACTCACTCAAGCCTCTTTCAGCGTCGGTGACCACTCTGAGGTTAGCTCTCTTATGAACGACGGGTCATGTTCAATGGCGTTGAATGTTGCGGGCCATATAAATGCCACCGATGCACAGCCCATTAGACAGAGTGGCGAGACTGCACGATAAACAATTCTCAAGTCGCTGAAAGGGTTCTCAACATTCATCAGGCTCGAGGAGGCGCGCAGCAGTGGCGGCAGAAAGGTGTCTGCGCCTCTCCCCTATAATCTTCCCCAACATTCTTTACATCCCTTCTTCCCCCACTGACAACTAAAGTGGAGATAGGACAAGACAGAAAATAGCCTCGCAAAAGTGTCCTGCGGTGATTTTTAAGAAGCTGTTGGCAGGTTGGGAGGATTTTCAATTCGCTGTCACCAAGGAGGATGTCAGACCTGTTGCATCCTCTGGCGTGGGACGCGAAAAATTGGCCAGTTAGTTCGTGAGCAGAACCATCTTACTTGAAAAGACAGACTAAAGTCTATTTTTTTTTTTTTTAAGTTCTCTTTGTGGTCATTATTTGACCTCAAATTTGATCAAATGAGTAATTCTCATTCAAATCAGATCATCATGCGATGTCCATAAGGTTACACATTTCACAAACGTACGTGGCTAATGTGGCCCAAAAACAAAATGCTAAATCCATCGTGAAAACGGCGCCAAAACAAACTTATCGGCAGATCACTCCAGTAATGATTCTTGGGTTGGGGGGGGTGAAATTGTGAGTGTTTTAAAATTGTTTTGTGGCCTCCTGCTGTGACGCTGGTTGAAAGCGGCGTGCATATTTGTACACCGTCTGCCATCATTGTTGTTCCTCATACTTTTGATGACTCCTTTTGTCTCCCGCTGTTTGGTTTGTTTCCATTCATCTTGTTTAAAAAAAAAAAAAAAAAATGGACATAGGGAGGAGGAAGGGGATGGAGGCGGGCAGGCTGAGTAGCTCCGGCTAAGAGAAACGCTTGACAGCAGGCTTTCGTTCCATTTCTCAATGTCAGGTTTTCAATCACAGCCTGACATCTTTAAAAGAAAAAAAAAAAATCAGAATAAACTGTTTTTTTTTTTTTCATCCTCTGCTTGCAACATAACCAATCGTGTTAATCGGCAGGTTGGCAAATGCTTGCCAAAGAACCGGGTGGCAGTACATCAGATTTTCTCATCAGCCCCGTTCCTTGTGGCAACCAATCGGCTCCCTCCAGTCACTCATCTTATCTCGGTGTGCCTTGTCTTGAGGCAATTTGTTTGTATTCGGATTGCTGGTATCTTTCACTGTGTCGGTTCGTCGCGTCATGTTTCCTGTTGTACTGTCGTCGGCGTTGGTTTGCTCTTTGAGTATTTGGAGTTTTCCACGTGCCTTGTTTGACCTCTTTGTAAATGATTGGAGGATCAGTTTGGGGAGTTCTCCTGCTTCCGTGTCTTGCCTCCCGTCCTTCCCTGCGCTTGGGTCGCACTTTTGCCACCAACACCATGACGGAAAAAAAAAAAAAAATCCCCGACACCAACGACAGGGAGGACGTATTTGGCAAACGTTAGCACTTAATGAGCACGTATGAAACTTCACTTAGCAGCATCATTCCTTTGGGAAGCTGACTGTGAGTTGTTGAACAAATTGAGCTTCAGCCTCCGCTGACAAAACAAAATGCCAATCAGAATGTCCCTTTTTCTTATGCTGATTGCAATGACCTTGCTCCTCCCATACTGTAAGTTTCACATGACTCATTGATTGGGACTACCTTCTCCACGACTTCATCAACACCGTCTTGTCGAAAAAAGTCGCACTTCCTTCAACATTTTCTGCGTCCATGTCGTGGACGCCACTTTTTTTTCTCGGCGCCCCAAAGCACCTCGTCGTGGTCGCTCTTCGCGAGGCGTCCTACGACTGACCTCACAATCAATGTAAAGTCCTTGAAATGAAATGTCTTTGCGTGCGTACATTCATGTTGTCATTTCCGGGTCCCTTCCTCACATCGGCCCCCATATGGCGTACGCAGATAGCGTTCTTTGGGTCGTGTCTTGGCTCGGCTTTAATTAGTGGATTTGCCACTAATAGATGGAGCTAATTAAGAGAGATTGGAGCTTCTCACTGTTTTCACTGAGTATGCGTGCATGCGTGTGTGTGCGTGCGCGCGCGCACATGTCAGCCGACAATGGGCGTCGGGCCGTGGCTGACGATGGATGCTGTCACCTTGGTAACCGTGTTAAATAGATTCCGGAGGTGAAACCGGCTCGAGCCAATTAGACATAGACATTGCTATGAAAATGGTAGGACGGATACAGGTGTGCGCTTTTTAGCTTGGGCATTCCACGCCCGCTCCCTCCCTACCGACGCGGGCGGGTGCGCACACGTGTGCAGACAGCATCTCGCCTCGGGCAGTGTAGATATGACCGCCGTAATCACATCACCCACCCCCCCTCACGTCTCCAATAACAATAATTCTGCTCAGGGATGCAAATAATCTCGACGTCCACATATCTTATTAGTGCAATCAATAATAACGCAGCACCCTGACACGCGCGTGCGCGCTCACACACGTGCGCAAATTAAAATAACATCCCTGTCACGCTAATGAGAAAGTATGGCCCATTACCATGCATTGCGTTTTGTCCTTCTAGTGTGTTTCAGTGCTGTTAAAAAAAAAAAAAAAAAAAAAAAAAAAGGTGATCAAAATGGAGGAAAGGGCTCACAGGGCGTAACAAGTAATTTTCTGTTTCTCCCTCTGTGTCGTCATCAAACGTGAAACAACAAAAGTGCAAGGGAGAAGAATTCATGCATGTTGTTTTGATTCTGGGGCAGCGCTTTTCCCCAAAAGCAAAGCGGTGACCCATAAGCGTTCCGGTTGCCCTTGGCCGCGTTCTGATGAAATGAACACGGTGTTACTGCTGACTTTGTGATAAGGCTGTACCTCGATCACACTCAGCCCCCCCCCCCCTCAGATGCATGTGCGCTGGTGGATGAACACTTGCAAAAGTGACTGCGGATTAGTTTTTGTTGATGTTTTTGTACTGCTCAGCGTTGATAAGTGCGTGTGGATGATTGCTGATTTGGGCCAGGGTGTCTGTTAATGAAATCCTTTCTGCTCCTCTGATTTGACTCATCAATCAAACAGCACCTCCTGCGTTACCCATAACGCCTTTTTGCTCTCTCCAGGTGGTGGATTACAGTGCCTCACGTGCATACACAAGAAGTAAAATGGAAAATAAGGTGCAAAATAGGACGTTTTTTTTTTTTTTTTTGTGGATAAACACATGGGGCCCATCATTGAAGACTTCTAAGCACATATTTGCATTTACGCTAACAGGAACGACAAACAGCCCGCGGCGCCCCTAAAAGCTTGACGTCAGGAGTTTTCCCCATGTCGCTGTCATCTCGATTTCCATCCGCAGAATGAAGGAGACAATGAGACAGTGAATGCATCATCTGCATTAATTTCTGCTTGATTCAAAGTGTCGTGGTTAAAGAGGGCAAAGGGGAGGGGCAAAAGGGGGGAAATGTGACGGGAGGTTTCAGGGTGTGTTAGTCCTAGGGTGGGGGGAAGCGGGAGGCGTGAAATGTAGCAATAGCTATCATATAGCAGCGATAGCTCAACAACATGGACGTGCCTCCAAAAAGGGGGGCTTGGTGGGGTTAGCCCAGAGGCTGGAGAGAAGCACACACATTCACATTCCCCTAAGATTAGAAAGCGCAGACACACACGAGCGCACATGATCACATCCTCACATATACACGCTCATGCAGAAAAAGTCACCCCGCCCTCCATGCAGACATAATGAGGTAAAAGTCCCAAACAACAGTTATGAAATCCAATGAGGCTAAAACAAAGCTTCGGCGGTGACGCAATGACTGGCGCTGCTTCCAGATCAGACGGCACGGAAGACAGAAAAAATGTCAACAACTGATTCTGAAGTTGGACCAAAACGCTGCTATCCAATGAGAGTATGCAGTGGAAATCTTACGAAAAGAGCAAAAGTACTCGCTCTCGGTGCTTAAGTCAAACTACACGGCTAGTTGTGAAAAAGTAACTGGACAAAAAAAAAAAATTCTACTTCTACTAACTGATTGGACACGCTTTGCTCATGTTGTGAGCTAATTAACAAAAATGCTAAATTAGCAAAGTGTGAAAGAATACACTTTACTTCTCAGGGTTTATTTTAGATTCCACAGATTTTTTTGGAACGCCAGAAGCTTCTGGTTTTTAGATTTGCACAAGACACCACAATATTCATGAGTCATTCCTGGAACATTCAAAAACTTGCTCAAGACACAACAACAATATTCATGAGTCATTCCTGGAACATTAAAAAAAACAAAACAAAACAAAAAAAAAACCCTCTTGCTTCTCCGAATCGGTTACATCAGTGTGTTAAATGCCTTCTGGTTCATGTTTGTTCATGCCAATGCCGTCCCTGTTTGTCTGCCTTTTGGCCAAGATGTCAATCAAAGAAATAAGCGAGCTTTAAAAAAAAAAAAAAAAAAAAAAAAGCCTATTTTGATGAAGGTTGGAAAGTACAGATATTTTTCAAATGTAGGGTTGATGTAAAAAGTCATCAGAAAAATATTTAGGGCACAGATGTCCTACTTGAAAAATCGACTTAAGTACAGTAACAAACCACTGAGGCTTGGCTACTGGTGCTTACTCTGTCAAGTTTTGAACCAGCCTTTTTGTCCCCGCTTTCAACCGAGTCAAGAAAAGTGGCAACAAATAAGATGACATCATCGGGAAAAAAAAAAGAACATCCAAAAAAGAAAATCCTCCTTCGCAAGAAGCAGACAGGTGTTCTCTCGTTGGCGCATCGCGTCCTCCCCTTTTGTCCGACCTCTCGTTGCGCCTCTCCTGGCTGTCGTCTGCACAGCCTGTCGTGCGGCTCCGGGACACTTCATGACTCATCTGTCTGCCACATTGAGCCTGGCGCACCAACAGAGAGGCGCAGAGTCCTTCTTTTGCTGAGACTGAAACACTTTCCCAAAAAAAAAAAAAAATCAGGCAATCTGTGCTGTCTGCACCTACCCCAAGCAGCTTGCTTGT